GGGACGGTGGCGACTTCATCAGAGAACAGGACACTGATGGGTGAGAGACATCGTTATGTTCATCTCATCCATCCATCTGTCCATTTATTCATCATTCCTTCCTCCCATCAGAGGCGGACAAAGTACTCAACTCCATTACTTGAGTGAAAGTACAGATACTGCTGGTCAAATATTACTCCATTACAAGTAAAAGTTGTAAAGACAGATTTTTACTTAAGTAAAAGTACAGAAGTACTTGCTTTTAAAAGTACTTAAGTACCAAAAGTAAATTTCCTTTTTTTATGTCAATGCACTGTTTTATTGTTGTACGTACTAGTACTTGCAATACTTCTGAAGCAACTTAGAATACATTACACCTGCTGAATACACTGACTAGCTTGTAGTATTCTTTGGAATAAAGAGCTTTTAGAATGTTAAAAACCTATGGGGAAAACTAAACAAAACAATTTTTTTTTTTTATTTAACACCCCTACCCACCCCCACACAAGCAGGATGGTAGTGATCTCACACAGCTCTGACAGTGCATGCACAGATCTATGTGTAGCCATTCAATCACATTTGAACAGAGTGGACAGTGAAATCCTGTAAACACAGAGTGATAAGGAAGAAAATAAAAAATCATACCTGCTTTAAAACCCAGCAACACAACTGTAGCTGTACAACTTTACAACAGCAACACTGCTTTAACAAAAAAGCAAAACAGCAAGACTTATTTGACATCAAAACAAAAATTTTAAAAATGCTGTCTAATCGCTCTCGCTGTACTCTGATGCCATACACAGAATGGTCTGCAGTGCTGCTTCAGTCCAACACCTATTGTGTTTTATTAGGAGATGCACAACAGTTCTTCTGTTGCTTTATAGGTAATATTTTCATGTACACAATTTAGCAAAATCAGACAATATTGTGTCTAATATATACCACAATATTAACTTCTTATTATTGAATTGTTGTAAAGAAATATCTCATTTGCAACTCGGTGTTCAAAAAACGCTGGGAAATCTCTTCATGTAACCCCACAAGAGTGATTACTGATAAACTGTCTGAAAAAAAGAAAGTCAACGTTTTAGAGAAGAAAAAAACCACCCACTGACTTTCAAAGCTGCTACATAGTAACAACGTTCTACATCAAGGACCTTGATAGAAATGTAGTGGAGTGAAAAGTACAATATTTGTCTTTCAAATGTAGTGAAGTTAAAGTCATAAGTTCCCAGAAAAAATATTACTCAAGTAAAGTACAGATACTCAAAAAGTGTACTTAAGTACAATACTCAAGTAAATGTACTTAGTTACTGTCCGCCTCTGCTGAAAATGTATTGTACCCACCAGCAGCAGAAGAGCAGGAGAGTGAGAATGACTCTATATCTGGAAGTGTGCTCGCGTCTTCCAATCAGAGGGATGAGGAGGCCGTATCCATAAGCAATAACAGTGACATCAGAAGCCGTCAGACCCAATCAGCTCCGCTGGCCACAGGAAGTTGGGTCAGATTTACTTGCTTCAGAACAACATCCCAAAAGGACCTGCAAAACACCTATAAACCCAACAACGGAGGTCAGAACATGACCAACGGGAAGGAAAGCCTGAGTCTGGTGTCACAGAAGATTCTCAGGCCACGTTATCAGAAGAGGAAGAGTTTATCCTTGCGGGAGAAGAAAGTCACAAGGACCATTATGGCCATTCTGGTGGCGTTTGCAGCCACATGGACCCCCTACAATGTCATGGTACTCATCAACACGTTTTGCTCTTCCTGTATTCCAAACAAGATGTGGATCTTTGGCTACTGGCTCTGCTACATAAACAGTACGGTGAACCCAGCCTGCTATGCCCTGTGCAATGTCACCTTTAAGAACACCTTCAAACAGCTGCTGACATGCAAATACAGGAATATTCATGCCACCAGAAAACATTAAGACTGTGGGGCAAAGCTCTATGCGCTTATAAACAGTTTCACTGACGATATCCAGAGTCTGCTGGTTTGGATCCATTCCTAGGTTTGAAAATACCAGGCTTGTCCAAATTGTTGAAACATTCAAATGATATTTCAGCAGCCATATTATGAGGAGGACAACTAAAAAGTAGCGGTGGACAGTTTAATGTTTTCTTTGCATTATTAAAATACAAAATGTTAGTCGTTTTCATTGCTGTCCTTCCAAGCTTTTTGCTAAAATTTATATTATAAATTATATGTATAAATCATATATTACTATTCAAAAGTTTGGGGTAACATTTTTGTATGCATCAATTAAATTTTTGTAATGTAAAGACATTTATAATGTTAAATAAGACTGCTGTTTCAATATTTTTTTAACTTTCTATTCATAAAAAGAATTCTGAAAAATTGGATGACGATTTCCACAAAATTATGAAGCAGCAAAACTGTTTTCAACACTGGTAATAATAACAAACTTTCTTGAGCAGCAAATCAGCATATTAGAATGATTTCTGAAGGATCATGTGACACTGAAGACTGGAGTAATGATTCTGAAAATGCAGCTTTGCCATCACAGGAATAAATTACATTTTAAAAAATATTTCAATAAAAAGTGTTACTTTAAATTGTAATAATATTTTACAATACTACTGATTTTACAGCATTTTTCTTAAAGGGATAGTTCACCCAAAAATGAAAATTCTGTCACTAATTACTCACCCTCGTGTCGTTTCAAACCCGTAAGACCTTCGTTCATCTTCGGAACACAAATTAAGATATTTTTGATGAAATCTGAGAGCTGTCTGACCCTGCATAGACAGCAATACAACTGAAATATTCCCACGTCCAGAAACGTATACAAAGACATCTGTAAAATAATCCATGTGACATCAGGGGTTCAACCGTACTTTTACGAAGCTACGAGAATATTTTGTGTACAAAAGCAAAAAAAATAACGACTTTATTCAACAATTTCTACTTTATTTCATTTTTGGGTGAACTAACCCTTTAAAGCGGAGACCTCCATTTAATAATGAAAAGAAATCAATCCTTACATTTGGTAAGAGAATCACATGTACTTCTCAGCATTTCACCATGATTTAAATGTAATTTTACTAAAGTAATTATGCCAATAATGGTGTTTTGTTATTATTATTATTATATATACTGTATTTTAAGGTTCTCAAATCTTTTGACATACATTTCTGTGACTTTTCCAGCTATTTGTCATCACAGATGAAAAAAAAAAGTTATATGCTATATGTAAAGCATGTGATTATGTAGATAAATATCATTTATATAAGCATTTTATTTTATTACTTGGAACAAAACGTACAGAAATACACATTTAACTATTATCATGTTATCTTATACAGATGCACTGTTTTGTTATTTAGGCTTGTTTTGTAGATGTTTATTAATCTATGTGTGGTTGGAAAAATAAAAAAATAGTGAAATTATGGAAAGAAATGTAATTCAAGCAGAATGTAATGAATGTTGTATTGAACTGGAGAATACAGAGTGTTAAAAAAAATACCAGCAATAAAACAATTCAGTTAAAAACAATTTTAGCTTTAATCATTTATCATAGGAAAATAAACAGATATCCTGTAGGTCTTTAACAAGCAAACTGGCCTTTTTTTTTTTTAAACTAAGTTTAAATTGCATATGTTCCATTTTACCAGGGAGGAATCACATAAAACCAACAAGTAAGTTTTCCGTCCGTGTCCACGCACATGGTAAACATTTTTTATCTTCAACTTACAATATAATGCTGGTATTTCAGGATAAATACTGAAAGGCAGTGACAAAAAGCATTTGTCAGCGGAAATGAGAATAAAAGACATTTTACCTCAATATGAAGCTCTAAAACAAAGTACAGAAAAACACAAAGGCATTCAAGGGAACTGTCAGAACTCAGACTATACCATTAGGAAGGCTGTTCAGTGTTTTATTGCTGATTCAATTTGAACTACATCAAGCCTCTTTCCCGAACAGGCTTAGTAACAAAGTACGTGACGGCGCGACTGTGCGTCTTCAATAAATAACACACGTCTCTAGAAAAACAAGACATCGCTGGCGACGCTGAGGTAGTTAGGAGGTGTAGCAGGGCAGGATCTCAGACGCGTCTCCTAAACCCTTGACCTCGGTCATTTGCCAAAGTCCCAAGTTCAACACCTTAAGGCAGGGCAGCTGGGTGATTCTCTCCAGTCCTCTTTTCGTTATTTTGGTACAGCCGTACAGGTCTATCCCGGTCAGCTGCGTCAGGTGATCCGCTATGAGCTCGAGGCCCTTGTCCGTGATCCGCACGCACTGGCCGATGTTCAGCGTCTTGAGCTCGTGCATCTGCCGGACCATCCGGTTGATCCCGTCGTCGCTGATGTGGCACGAACAAAGCGACAGGGACTTGAGCTGGTACAAGCCCTGCGCGATGTAAGCCAGGCTCTGGTCGCCCACTTTGTCGCAAAACGACACATCCAGCCCGTAAAGCCTCAGAGCGCCCATGGAGAGATGCATGATTCCTGTATCGCTTATGTTATCGCACGAGCGCAAGTTAAGAGTCCAGAGGTGGGTCTTATGCGACAGGTGGATCATGCCAGCGTCGGATATGCCACCGCAGAAGCTCAGGTTTAGGACTTTCAGCTTGTTTAGGCCCTTAGAAATGTGCTTGAGCGACAAGTCAGTGAGTTTCTGACAGTCCTGCAACGTGAGGTGCTCCAAACTCAAGCAGCCCTCCGCGGCGCTGCGCGTCATGCCGGCCAGGTGTCCGATGCCTACATCCGAAACGTGTCTGCAGCTTCTCAAATTCAGGCTTTTGAGATTATGAAGGCCCCAAGCGATAAGCAACAACCCCGTGTTGGTGATATTACTACACCCGCCGAGATCCAACAGCTCCAGGTTCTTTAGATACTGCGCGATCCTGCCCAAACTGGAATCGGTGATCTGTTTGCACAGGCTCAGGTTGAGTACCCTCAGTGACGGGATATCCTGCACGAATGCATGTCCGAGGCCGTTATCCGTCAGGTTGTAGCATCCGCTCAAGTTAAGGCTCTCGATGTTGGGCATGCCCTGGATAACATAGCTAAGGCTGCGCCTCAGGCTGAGGATCTGGACTTTCTTGATGCCTCTGGTTTGGAGGCTGGGGAACAGCGATGGGTTTGCTCTTCTCAGGTGGAGTTTGGCTTCTACTCCTCTCCAGACGGATTTATGGTACGAGGCGTCTCTCCACGCCGTGCATACTTGCGCGACTCTGCCTTTGCCTTTAACGTCCAGGTAGTTGAAAATCATCGCTAAGATCTCCGGGAAGAGGCTCGAGACGTGGATGTCCATTTCTAAGAGCGGCTCGTTAGCTTAGCTAAGTTGTTAGTCTGGTCTGGTCTTCTGCCGGCGGGGGCCGCATGTAAATAAAACGCTGTTAGAAATGGAAGTAAACACACAACAAAAATAAAAATCGAACGCACTTTGTTGCATTTAGAACTTGGTCTGGGATTCATTCGCTTGGAATAACCAGCTTACGTCGCTGTATTTGCACCGCCAGGTCTTCGTAACGACTATTTCCAGATCGCGACGCATGTTTAGTAAACATAAATACATATCCATGAAAAAGCTCGCGGAAAAGACTTTTAAAAACTGAACGTAAACGTTTGGAGAAAACAAACGATTTCCCGTGAACACAAATCAGCCATTTGACGAAAACTATGGAGTCCGGTTTCCGGTAGCCTTTGTCTTCGTCTATTCAAAACGGGGAGGGTGACTGTTCAGCGGGCTGGTTTTATTGTATTAAAAAAACTGTATGTTTATGTTCAAAAGGTCTGAAATGTATATCAAAACTAATAATTTTTCTTTAAAAAAACATATTAAGTGTCACATTTGCTCAAGTGAATTCAAATTGTTTTTTAAAAACAACAACAACCCCCCTATTAGTGATGGGAAGTGCGACTCATTTGCGTGAATCGGTTCTTTTGAACAGTTTTAAAGAATTGGTTCACAAAACTTGAACCTTTACGTCATGACGCAAATACTTCCGTACGTGATCCTTCTAAAATCTTAAAAAAAAAAAAACATATACTCATTTACAATTACATTCACATAAAAAAAAAACACTAAAATCAATTTACGTTGAAAAAGTCTTGGCACATTAAAAAAAATGATAGGCATATTTACAAAAAAAAAAAGCACATCTGTTTGGTTGTAAATATAATTCTAACAAGTCATTGTTTGTAAACTTTCTGATATTAGGGTATTAAAGTAACTTACTATGAGACAAATCCGCGTTTCATTCCAAATGCTCTCTTGGAATCGGGTATATCAGAAAGAAGCTGGTCTCGGTTCAGTGAATCATTGAGTTGTTGATTCCAAAACCGCTCTGATTGTATTCGTGAATGAACCGACTTATTGAAAAGATTCGGCTCAAATGAATGACGCATTCAAGAATCGAACCTTACTTCCGGCTCAACGTCACTGGTCTTAAACAAATAAGCTCCAGTTATCTTTGAATACGAAATCAAACGTGACTGTTTTCACACTTCTTTCCTATGCAAACCTGTTTATCTTACAGACAAAGAAAATTATAACGAAATCCAGCAAAGCATAGAATAAAATATGAGCTTGACCAGTATAAAACCCGTCTTATTTGTTCACAAACAATCACTCTTGTACTTTGAAACACCCATAAAAGTGAAGCATAAAAGTATTTTACTACAAATTCAGTCTTGTTGAGGTTGTCCACAGCAGCACACATGAAAGCTGATAACAAATTCAATATGAAACAAAGTACATTCAGAAATGACAGTGCAAGGTATTAAAGTACCACTGTAAACTTTTTAAATTTCCAAAAATGTTGCTTGTGTAAAAATCTATGCAAGTATGCTCAATCTCTTTCTATAAAACTACAGAGAAATTATTAATTTTATAACCTAAATCAAAAAGTTTGCATACATAGAAATAAGAAACAAAAATCACAAAAGTACCTTATAATTTTTTATACAGTGGGGCTTCTATGCATCATTTCAATTTTAATATTATGGAATATACATTCATCCAATTATACTTACGGGTATTAACCAATTAGATTAACTCCTAAATTCTAAAGAAATCAGATAATAGTCTCTTTAAATGAACAAATATCTTCATATAAAATAGCTTTTTATAGTCAATAAGTGAAATTTTGTATTTCAGTTCATCTAACACCATCTTTCTGTATTTATACTATTTTATCAACTAACTAAAAGGGAGTTTTTGTTAACATTCAATTAGCAAACCCTGTTAACTTTCAGGCAGCACATTATCGTCACATAAAAAAGCAACAAGCTTTTGAAAAACAGAATGTTCAAGACGTACAATGTTCTGCACTGTATTATCATTAGCAACTGTTATTCTCACAGATTAAGAGACTAATTTCTTTTCATACCATTAAGAGTGCAGGTTAGCAATGATTAAAAAGCACTAAATGTAGTTCGTTTAAAGCCCCATGTCAATAAATAGTGCATGAGATCAAGAGTGACAATAATGGAAGAGATTTCTACATTTAGGCATACTGTCATCTCATAACACATTACGATACGTGAAGCTCATTTAAAGTGCAGTCACAATTTTGCGAGTAAAAAAGGCCAGTTGTCTATTGTTGGTTGTGTAATGATGTATGAAGCACAGCTCACACAGACGTAACTTATATACCAATCAGCTTCCTGCTGGTCGATGTGGCAAATCCATGTGACCAACTTGCACCCACTGCGAAATCTTTAGCCCTCACCTGAAACTCCCAATCGAGTGAATTCCTATTGAAATGACTGGATTTCGCCTGCGAAAATTCGACAAGAGTAAATGTGACCACACCTTTAAACAAAATGAGTATGGAAGCTTATTTCTGCCATGGAATAAAAAAAATAAAAATCTGGCTTTTTTCTCACAATTACGAGTTCATATCTCACAATTTCAAATTATAAACTCAAAATTGCGAGTTTACATTTTGCAATTGACTTTTTTCCTCAGAATTGTGTTTTAAACTTTCTTTTCTTTTTTTCCGAATTCTGACTTGATATCTACCTTTTTTTGGCCACAATTAAACATAATTGCAACTTTTTTTCTTGCAATTGTGAATTAACAACCAGCAATTCTGAGTTTATATCTCGCAATTCTGAAAAAAAAAAAGTCTGAATTGTGAGATATAAACTCAAAATTGCATGATAAAAAGGTGCAATTACCCTTTTTAATTGTTTTTTATTCCGTGGCGGAAATTAGCTTTCCTAAATGAGAGACAGTAAGATGTATATTAATTAAGATGGAGATATTCCACCTCTATTGTCTATGAAAAACTAGAAAAATTCAAAAATTCATCCACAGGTTTAGAACATTATGAAAACAATCACTTCAAATCGAGTCTTCTCCCATTTTTCCCACAAAGCAGCCTTGGCTTTTGCGCAAAGCAAGAATGAAAATCACAACGTACATAGCTACTTCACAAGTTCACAGAATAGTGGTAGTTTATAATCACAAACATCTGAAATGGATTCTTCACACATTGATTCCATCAGCTAGTTTTCCTGCTCGTTCCGAAAGAATCGGAGCGGCAGTGGGAAAGGTCGATGAAGATTCCGTCAGGATCTGATTCCAGTGAGTCTAGCCCCTGCATTACAATCGTCTCCGGACTGGAGGAGCAGCTCGGGGGTGACGAAAGGGCCTGGTCCACCTCAGATGAAGCCATCGGGGCGTCCGCTGCATGCAGACACCCTGCGGAGGTGTTGATGAAGACGGGTGGAGAAATCAGAACGGGCTGTCCCGTGGCCCCTCGCATCACACTAGACAGGGTGAGCTCATGATCGAGTGAGAGTCTGGGGGTTGAGCTGGTCTCTATTCCCACAGTCAGGGCCGAATAGCCCTGGGGCTCTATGCAGGAAGTGACATCACACGCAGAGTGACGCCGGATGCCGACGCTGCCCACAGAGCTCACTTCAGAGTCGTACTCGGCCACGGGGGTCAGCATGGGGATGTTGTAACTCTTGGAGCGCACTACCAGATTACTGGAGGGCAGGTCTGCAGACTTGGACCAGCAATACTGCAAACGCCTCTCTGGAAAGATTTTTAAGAAATGAATAATGATATACCGCTTTTTCATTGGACACTTAGCAGTAGTAGTACAGTTCTGACATACTTTATAGATATCAGCAGCTGAATCACACAAGATGAAAGCAGCACGTTTATGGGTGGAGAACATCCTTGCAAGATCTTTAAAAGGACAGTTCACCTATTTATTAAATGCAAGTTTAACACACAAATTTTATATTTTTTACTGTTTTTTTTGTTTTTTTGAATTCATGAGATTAAATCACAATTTTATTCTACTGACAGCCTTAATTTTTAACAGTAACAAAACAAAAAAAACAAACAAAAAAAATCTATATTTATTTCTGTGTTTATCTCTCCTCCCTTGTGACATGTTATTTCTTGAGACATAATTTGTATTTGTGTATTTTTTAAATACAGTTTTAACTCGCAACTGTAACCTTAAATGATATTTATGGTGAAAAGAGATTTACAAAAAAAACGGAATTTATTTAAAATCTATACAGTTTATATAGCTAAGTTTAACACTGTGTAGTAAAAATAAAGATACAAAGCAAATATTTTCCAGATATTATTTTAAATCTAGTGAATTAATTAATTTAGGAAACAACATGCTATATCAAGTGTATTTTTTTTTCTCACACGGTATAAATGAGACTTAGTGCATGAAAACAGACTTAAAAAAAAAAAGATTTCTATGATGCAGGCTTTTTTTACTGAAAAAATATATATACAGTATATATATATATTTATTTTTTATTTTTTTGGTGTCAGTAAGATTTTATTTTATCATTATTATTTTTATTTTATATTAGCTTTATATTAACAACATTTTCAGGAAAGACACATTCAATCGAATAAAAGTGACAGTAAAGACATTTATAATGTTACAAAAGATTTGTATTTCAAATAAATGGGGATCTTTTGAACTTTCTATTCATAAAAGAAATCCACAAAATTATTAAACAGCACAACTGTTTTCAACATTGATAATTTCTGCAAATCAGCATATTAGAATGACTGGAATTCAGCTTTGCAATCACAGAAATAAATTACATTTGAAAATATATTGCAATAAAAAACGGTTATTATAAAATGTAATAATATTTCACAACATTACTGTTTTTTGTTTAAATAATGCAGCCTTGGTGAGCATAGGAAACTTTTTCTTACTGACCCCAAATATTTGATCAGTAGAATATTTTGTCTTATGTTCTGTTGTCACTGTCTTGATTTAGTTAAATTTTGTATTTTATTTTATTTTATTATTTTATTTTTATTAAATACATAGCTGCCTTTTTAATTTGTGTGAACTATCCCTTAAAGGCACAATATGTAATTTTCGGCACTAGAGGGCATGTATTCAAAATAAACAGAGGCAAAGGCATAGTCTGATGACGCTGTGACTCTGAGTGTGGAATCATGGGAGTTGTGGTCTTCATCCCCACAGCCGAAGCAATCTGACGGGACTCGGGCAGAAATCATGTTCATGGATGAGCTAATGATTTATTAAAGTAGTAGAATGAAGCAGAGTTAGGCTGAAAGCCGTCGAAGCGAAACGAGGCCGCTGAATGAGCGCGACACACGGCTCGAAAGCAGCGGAGCTTTTATTATGCCACAGCCGAGCGCTTCCGCTCCTTCTGGTCATGCGTATGTGGGGGAAAAAACAGCTCTGTTTTATCATACTAGATACGATTGAAAGTTCTGTTATAATGCTACTCTGTGCGGTCGTCACCTCTTCGAAACATTTGGGATAATGTAAGTACACAAGTCAGCAAAATATATAACACTGTTCTAGTGGTTTTTGGATATTTTATTTAAAAAATCTTACATATTGTGCCTTTAAGTTCTTTTCTTTGGATATCTGAAACCTTCGGTTTTTAAAATGCTGTTATATTGCCTCTCTCACCGATAACACAGGAGCACTCAGAGGCGCCACACTCATGTGAACACAGTCCCTGCGTGCCCAGGTACGGCGACACCACCTTCTGAACGAGAGACTCCAGCTTCAGGTATTCTTCACTCACACCTTTGGATTCATGAACCCCCTGTAAAGATGTGAAGATGACATATCACTTTGACTCTATCCCTTTTGAAATATTAATTACTGTAATTTTAGTTGAGACGCACAAGGTCTATGATTAATGTCTCACTCAATATGACACAACTGCTGAAATCATCGCAAATGACCCGTCTTGAAGTCTCTATGTTATAATCTCTCATGACAGTATGGCTGGATCTTTTACATGACCTAAGAGGATTTACTTGCAGTCCATGAGTACCTGTAACACCAAAAGCATCTGGACGATGGAGGGAGGGACACGGGCTCGCGGTCTGGACAAAGCCTCCTCCAGCTTCATGTTAAGGGTGATGGTGTTTCGAAAGTGCAGCAGGGCCAGCTGACGCACCGATGGCTCCTTGCCCTGAGATGCCATGAACACACACAACGATTCACACACCACTGCTGTAACTGATGTCTGACCAGTTATTTCACAGAATGACTAGACTGTACCTGGACGGGGTGGAAGATGGCTTGAAGCATAGTCAGAACATCACAAAAGAAAAAGTCCCATGTCTCAGCCAAAGAGTCCAATAACTTCTGACCTATTTTCAGCCAGAAGAAAAACAGTTTGTATTGTTTAGATACTAGTGAAATACTGTGTAATGACATTAAAATTAAAAAAACATTTTTAGGAATGTGTTTTGTCTTTAAAATGGGAAGGGTATACCTTCATAAAACCTTATTTTGTCCCGTAAAATGACCATGCCTTTAGTTAAAAGCTGATTCTGATAATGAGAAAAAAAGGGAAAGACATGTATTTTTTTTTTTTTTAATGTACATATTAGAACAAACACATCTCTGGAAAAAAATTCTTACCTGGAGGTATTCTGTAAAGAACGAGCCCAGCTCAGTTTTCAATAGCTGCCTGATAAAATAAAATATTATAACATTTTAAACACATTGAAATATGTTTCAGAAGAGAAATAATTATACCTACATATAGGAGAAATTTGACTTAAAATGACTGGCAGGAAAATATTCCAAAAAAGGTAATTATATATTTATAATATATTTTTTTCAATATAATTTATATACAGCATACACTACCATTCAAAAGTTTAGGGTCGGTAAGATGTTTTTAATGCTTTTGAGAAGTCTCTTAAGCTCACCAAGACATTTATTTGATAAAAAAAAAAAACAGTAAAAACAGCAATATTGTGAAATATTATTACAATGTAAAATAACATTTTTTTATTGATATAGATTTAAAAATGTAATTTATTCCTGTGATGCAATTTTCAGCATCATTACGCCAGTCTTCAGTGTCACATGATCCTTCAGAAATCATTCCAATATTCTGATTTATTGCTCGAGAAACATTTATTGTTTTTTATCAATGTTGAAAACAGTTGTGCTGCTTAAAATTCTTGTGGAGTCTGTGATACATTGTTTTTCAGGATTCTTTGATGAATGAAAAGAACAGCATTTATTTGAAAAGTAATTATAATTTTTATAAGCTTTTATCAATTTAATGCACCCTTGTGGAAAATAAAAAGTATTAATTTTTCTTTAAAAAAAAAAATATTACCGACCACAAAGTACTGAATGATACAACTGATTATAATATATTTTATATGAAAGCACCAGTAATTGTACATTTATTACTCATTATTTTCTTGAGAATTAAGCACATTTACCCCCAAATTCTTATAAAAGAAATGCTAAAAAAAGACATTATTCATACAACTATTTCTACATCAAAATAGTACTATTATCATTACTATACTCAATTTATGCCGAATATGTTTTTTAATTCACTGTGTCCAGAAGGATTTTCATTAGTGCATCATAATCACCACATTTTGCTATAAGTTTGATTGCATCATATAATAATTGCTGTTAATAGTGTTCGTCTGTTTGATTACGTCTTTAATTGATTTTTCCGTACATTTCTGCCATATGTACATTAATTGACAGTCACCACTGATAAGCTACCACTAAATATTGTAGAAACTTAATTTGCTGTAAAGTTGCTTTGCAACGATTTGTATCGTGAAAAGCGCTGTACAAATAAACTTGAACTGAATTGAATTGAATAATGAGATACATAGAGAGACAAACACTGAAAATAATGAAACTCACAACCAAACTTAACTATAAAATAATGCAGATGCATTACAGTAATGAGAATGAGGGGGAAATGTGCTTAATTCTGATGAAAATTATGTAATATCACAATACAAAATAAAATCTTAATGGTAAAAAAAAAAAAAGCTTAATTTTCTTGATGCAAAAAATACTTATTTTTTTACATTTGACTTTGGGGTGAAATATGATGTGGGTATATTTTCTTAGCTGGGATGTTATTGCTTCACAGTTTTTTCTCGTAATAGTTACATAATAGTGTACTGAGGCTCTGCGTCCTCTCACAACTGTTCTGTGCTGATAATGTGAAGCCTCAGACCACAGCTGCCAACGTTTACATTTGAAACACTGCCAACAGTTACCATTATAGTGAAATGAATAATTCACAAACCTACCCTCAGTTTTTCATAAAAATAAACAAAAGAACACAAAAACACATTAAAAACAACATACCATGCTGTTTTTCCTCACCTCACGCCTTCATTGAGTGTATAGAGTTCGTTGTTCGCCAGTCCTTTCTTTTGGAATACAGCAATAACTGCGTTGTGAATGCTACAATAAATCACACAGACGTGAAATTACATCTCAGTTTATGACACTTATTGACATGCGCTGCGCACAAAACCCACACTAACCTGTTCCATGTGGCATTAGGCCCTGATCCTCTCTCCTCCAATGAAGCCTTTTCATTTTTCCCCAGCTGACTCAGATTTGGAGAACTTACCAACTTCAACCGGTACAGAGTCCTCATGGTTCAAACAGAGGGATAAAAACACGGTTCAGTTAGTCCAGAATAGCAACAACAAGTGAGAAGGGGAGGAGCTGGAAAGATGCAGCTACAGACGTGAAGGGGAGGAAACTACCGTTTTATTGTTGAGAAACCAATTTCCTTCCTCCTAACATTACATTCCCATCCTTTCCTTAGTCTCTCTCTCTCGCTGTCCAACACTCACGCACACCCACAAAAATAAACCAATCGTGTTTAATAGTTATGCAACAAAAACTCCCTTTCTTTCTCACTCCCAGTGCAAGGGAGTGACAACCTGCTCCTCCTGTGTGATGTGAGCTGGGTTTAAATATGCGTATTTTTCAAAGCACTCAAACTTATGATTTTTACCTGGAGAATGATTTAAAAAAAAATATATAAAAAAAAAATGTAAAAGATATATATATATATATGTATTAAGAATCCAAAATATAATATATAATAATCCAAATTTTTTTTTACAAACTATTATTTTTCATGCATGAATAGGCTGCAGTGGTGACTGTACTCTATTGACTTTAGCCTGGAAATTTCTGACCCATTTCCCACTGGTCCTGTCTGCACTCATTGAATTTACATCAATATAGATGAACCCATTCTGATTCTTGGAACGGAGTAATCTATGTTTTGTCACGTCTCATGTGGCATCACACTGATACCAAATAAATGTACACAAAGTGGGACCCTCAGCAGGTGGCAAATTGAGGAATGTCACACATTGTGAGAAAATTTTGGAATATGGCTTATTTAGGGTATGCAGGAAAACAAAGGACATCACAAACAAATAACAGGATATGAGTATGTATAGCAGGATGTGAGTGTGTTAATAGATCCGTTCACAACATCAGTTTTACCTCCTGAATGGATGACTGCTCCCATCCATGTGAAGGTGGTGTGGCAGAGCAAACAGGGCAGAGAAGCTGAATGTGGATGATCTAGGGGCGGGTCGATCAATGTGGGCTCCGCTCAAGTTCTCCAGCATTGTTATCGAAAGGCTGCCAGATCCTCCTTTCATTCAGAACATCTCTGGTCCTTCTGTTAATACAAAAGGATGAAGAAAGAGACAAAATGAGAGAGTGTTGTGGTGGCTGCTACTACCACATACCTCATGAATGCATCTTTAAGTAATTAGATTACTTAAATTAAAATTCTGTCATCACTTACTCTCCCTCATGTTGTTCCAAACCTGTATGACTTATTTTCTTCTGCAGAACACAAAATAATTTTAATATTTAATAACACTAGAATTACTACTAATAATACTACTTTTAATAATTAAAAAAATTTACTGGTCGCTCTTTTTCACGCAATTACAATGAAGGATGACTGACATTTCAGAAAAGATGCAGAAAAAAAACATTCAATTATGAAAGAGGTAAAATATTCCTATTTGCCTTAATTACAATTACTTTGTGTAAGGAAGAACAGAGTGAAATTTAAGTAGTGTTCACTGTCAATATTCCCCCTTCAGTGAGCTGTTAACAACTGCAATCAGATCAGTGAATCAGTGAGTCAAACTTGAGAACCAGATCAGTCGGTTTCATGTACAAATCATTAATTTAATTGTGGGCAATGCTTAAAGGGGTCATATGATGCGATTTCAAGTTTTCCGATGCCCGATTCATTAAAGGGATAGTGCACCCAAAAATGAAAATTCTGTCATCATTTATTCACCCTCAAACTTATTTGAATTTCTCTCTGCTGACAGACAGTTGACAGTAGCCATTGACTTCTTTTTTTTCTCCATTAATGGCTACCGTAAAAATTTTTTTACCAACATTCCTCATATATCATTCTCCGTTACAATGAATCGGTTGATCCACCTGAATGATTTGTTCTCGAATCGAACTGATCCGATTCTCAAATTCATTTTGAAGATCCGGTCTCCATTTATTGTAATTGCAAAGAAAAGACCAGCACGATCTTCAGAATTTCTCCTTTTATGTCATACAGGTTTGGAACGACATGAGGGCGTGTGATGATAACAGCATTTTCAATTCTGGGTGAACTATCCCTATTTCACAACTCCCTGATGCAAGCATTTGGTAAACAGTCTAGATCATAAGGCATGTCACAACCCATTTACATAAACGAACTACAGTAAAAAAAAAACATTACTCTGCCGAAGATTCCCAAATGTCAGATTCATTCGTTTCGGCTGCTGTTAAAGCAAGGATCGATGTGCTTGTTTACGTTATTCATTCTCCATGTGTTCCTCGGCAACACAATTCATCCCGCGCCCCCTTCCGGACCATCTGGGAAGCTTCGCAAAAGAAATAGGCTACTAAAACAAAAGACTTGACTTGCATCAGCCTGTCATCATTTGCTCACGCGGCCGTGAGAGCTTTTTATGGGCTCTTTGAAAAAAAACCACAAACGCATCTCAACAGCCTCGACCTATATATGTGCCTTTGCTTTATGTTCCTCTTTCCCTGAAGCACCATGTCAGTTTCCCTTTGTTCACTGAACGTGCCAAGACACGAGCCACGATGTTTTACAGGAGCAGGAGGAGTCCATTTCCCTTTCTAAAGAGCAGACAGGTAAAAGCAACGGTAAAACGACGACGTCTGGGTAAACCTGAGAAGGCTATTTGAGAGGAAGGGCATCAATTCCCATTCTGGACTAACAGATCTCGCCTGCCTGTTCTATTAAAACTCGATACGGATCAAACAACCCACTGACCGCATCATTTTCTATTGGTTACATGTTCCATCAGAAGCTGTAAGTTATTCATGGCGGGGTTGACGCACTGGGTACTCAATGTACCTTATGGTGATCGTGACACGTTTGTTATTTACAAACAGCGCAACAATGCACCATTCATTCATCCAGGGAAAAACACGATTTAACATAAAACTCCCGGCTCTAACACTCCACACGAACAGTAGTGCATCGTAATAATGTTTCAACTCACCGTAGTAGTGCATCGTAATAATGTTTCAACTCACCGTCATGTGCTCCGTGTGCAAAGTGAATATGAGCAGTCGGGGATATTTAAGTAACTTCAGTGATGGCGAGAACAATAGATATGATGGTTTACACTTCAGGAGAAACTAATCCATAAATGCGGATGTGGGCTGTGCGGGGTTAATGGATCATTCCCGTGGCAGGCATCCCCAATACTCGCCCCTCCTATTTGCTTCCCGAGTCGCAGACTGTGACCAGACGGCAGTCCAGACAGTGGGCGCATTCACGCCCCGACACGTGCGCGCGCGCCATTGTGCGAAGGGTCAAGATGAGTTTGAAACAAAATGAAATTAACGTTTGATATGCTAACATTTAGTAAAGGAAATGATATTTCCGTTTCGCTTTATGAGCTCAGTGTTCATGCTCAGCAGGAAGCCATATGTAATAAAATCCATATTCAATTAAATAACCAGACTGCAATCTTTATTTGGATCCCTAATTTAGATTTAGATCATCCCTGCGGAGTTGACCGTGACAGGGATATAATTTAGCACAGCAGCGGTTTATTTTACAGAGGCGGAGCAAAATTCAAATAAATTGAATTTAAATTAAATTTTGCTTTTTATTTTGCTATAGATATGTAGAGTCATGGCATTAATTTGTAGGTCAAAACGGAAGGATAATTTGTCACGGAATTTGTATATAAAAAATATAAAAGAACAATAACTATTCTTCTTCTTCTTATTATTATTATTACATTCTGTTTTTTAATGAATGGGTTGAGTGAATGATTTAGTGGATAGTTCATTCCTAACAGACATTTATTATTTATATAAGTGGACTAAATTGTTGGAGAAGTCCTGCATGCCACTAGAGAGAAGTGTCGTTTTTACCAATAGAAAACAGTTATGATATTTTGATTAAACATTACTAGATGTTTTTTTTTAAATGAAACGGATATGCACGGAAGAATTGTTTATATCGTCTTCAATGCGTTTCGAAAATAGATAGTGTGAATTTTTATTTCATGCCGACTTTAAAAGATGCGCGTCACTGAGATTGATCCAAATCTCCATCGCCATGTATACATTGGACAATTATCACTAAACTGGATTTCAAATAAATGCCGCTTTTTATCTTTCTGTAATGCTGTTTTTTTCTGTGTTGACATTTATTTTCATTTCGTGATGGTGAATGCGGAGAACACAATCTTTTATTTGAGACAAACATGGATATTTAAAGGGGTCATATGATGCGATTTCAATTTTTCCTTTCTCTTTGGAGTGTTACAAGCTCTTGGTGCATAAAGAAGATCTGTAAAGTTGCAAAGACTAAAGTCTCAAATCCAAAGAGATATTCTTTATAAAAGTTAAGAGTCAGCCACACCTACCTAAAATGGCTCGTTCTAACACGCCCCCACATATCTACCTCACGATGTGGATAAATTAGCTGTAATGTTGAGTCAGACTTCCTGTTGTTACAGTTTAGCGACATCCACTCACATTATACACACCCAGCACCGTTTAAAAGAGAATACTGACGGCTTTTGAGACTTAACGATCAGAAGACACACATGGATCATTGCAGTAGGAGGCAAGAGGAGAGGAAACCTCATACAACCAACACGTGTTTTGGGCAGGTATGTGTTTTGATTATTTTGACATGTTAATAGCTACAGAAACAGACGATTTATATTGTATTAATATAATAATATTTCCAGAATTCCAAGTTTATGTTTGTTGTAGTATGCATATACTGCAGAGGAGTATCAGGCGGTCCAGAATGCTCTACGGCAGAGACTCAGACCTGAATATATCAGCACCAGACAAGCTGGAGGACGACAAAAAGTGAGAATTAATGCGCTTAATGTACACTTAAATATTTAGTCTTGCTGATCTAATATATAGTTGATTATCTTGCTGTTTTCCAGGTTATTAGACCTTTGTCTTGTTTTTTGCAGGTGTGCTATATTGAAGGTCAAAGTTATAAGTCTGGCTAATGAAATGTTTGGGTATAATGGATGGTCACACTCAATATGCCAACAAAATGTTGGTAACATCATCACAAGTCAAAGACATGTTTCTCATAATGACGGGCACAGATTCTCAAACAATTCCCATTTATGCTGTATTTACATCAGGTTGCAAGATTTGATGCTTCTTTTTAAAAAGACGTGGTCAATCTTGTGTTACAGACTTTGTGGACCTTATCAATGGGAAATTTTATGTTGGAGTCAGTGCCTTTGTGAAGGTTGAGTTAAAGGTAAGTGCTCTTGACAAGACAGACACACAGCATAGTGAGGAGCATACCATTTCTTCAGTGTCTCTTCCATAGGATGGCTCGTACCATGAGGATGTAGGATATGGGGTGAGATAAGGCCTTAAATCCAAAGCTCTGTCACTGGAAAAAGCAAGAAAAGAAGCCGTCACAGATGGACTGAAAAGAGCACTATTTCTGTTGCTACATATACTTGATTCTGATTGGTCAGTTGTTTCATTTTGTGGTCAGTGTTTTAAATCAAATTTTGTGAGAAATTTGCAAGGATGTATTAAACTGAACAAAAGTGACGGTAGAAACATTTAGAATGTTGCAAAAGATTTCTATTTCCAACAAATACTGATAATAATAAGAAATATTTCTTAAGCAGCAAATCAGCATATTACAATGATTTCTGAAGGATCATGTGACACTGAAGACTGGAGTAATGACGCTAAAAATTCAGCTTTACCATCACAGGAATAAATTACATTTTAAAATATATTTAAATAGAAAACAGTTATTTTAAATTGCAATAATAATTCATAGAATTTCATAATATTGCCGTTTTTACTGTATTTTTCAAATAAATCAAATAAATGCAGCCTTGGTGGGCATAAAAGACTTCTTTAAACATTCAGGGAAAAAAATCTTACCAACCCCAAACTCTACACTATCTTTTCCCTTACACAAAGTAATTTCAACTAAAAATTATTTATATTTTATAATTATTTTTATTTTTTTCTATTCAATAAGAAGCCATATAATAAGTAGGATATATATACTGTATAGTCAGCTAATTATTATCACAAAATAAAAAAGGCTTCTGATTACCCTGTCAAGATTAATTTTTGCTAATGACTGGCTTACTATACATTATGCAATACATTATATAATTGTTATTGAATTAATCATTTACATTTTATTTTCTAAGGTGTTTTGGAAATGCGCTTGGAAATTGTATTCTGAATAAGGAGTATCTCATAGCGATCAATAAAATACCAAAGCAGGTAAGAAGTAATCCTATCAACATTTGGGCCAAATTTATGATACTTTGACTTATTTTAATGTATTTCCTCAATTTATGTACCTGAAATATGGTGTATTTTCTGTTACTTCAGCCACCTCCTCCGTTAGACCTGAACAAAGCCAAACACAGTGATAGCGAGCCGTCTGTGGAGAAAGCCAGGTTCGACAGCCTGGCCCGAGCCAACAGCAGGGAATTTATCAAACCAGTGGAACTAGCCAACACCCTCTTAGAGCGGCTGGGAAGTCACCCTGTACGAGGGCATGAGAGCGGAACTGGATCCAGGACTTCATTGACAAACACGGCAGCACATTCTGGCAACACGTCAGCTCACCAGGACTCTGAAAACAGGCCCAGCAACACCTCAAGTTGAGTTTATTTGGTGCTAACTTCAACTACAACACTAGCCAGCTGCACTTATGATAAATCTGCTTCTCTCCATGTTCTTAGGTCAGCAGCTGACCTGTCCTCATCTGATCCTCCACTGGACTCCAAGCAGCAGAGGAAGCTGAGACAGCAGCAGCTGCAGCAAAAGTTCAGACAGGAAATGGAGGCTAAGAAGCTGCTACAGGAGCAGAAAACCCAGCAGTCCAACGCTTCCACTGAGCCGCCGCTGCAGTCTAAGCAAGGTGTGATGGAAAATTTAAGGGTTCATGTTTTAGCCAGGAGTATAAAAGATTCAAGCCTTTGCCTGCAGGAGTGTCAGGTGTGTAGCGCTCTCCATCGGTGGGTTTATCATTTTAGGACAGGCTGTAGGCCCTGTTAACCACAGTACACCAAACGTACACCTGGTGACCACTAAGCAGGAGGTGTATCTGACTGGTAAGAAGTATTTTAAAGAAAGGTGTGATCATGGTACATGTGCATTAGGAACTTATTTGGTAAAATACATGATCAGCAGTGCCACTGATTAGACAGTGATGGTAAATACTGGCTGCTTTAAAGCAGGTCTTTTCAAACTGGGATCCTGGCCCGTGGTTGTGAACTATTGTCCTAGGTTGTTCATGAAAAATAAAGATTTTTTTGTTTTGAAAGACATTTTTATGGCTGCCAGTGGCAACAAAATATTAAATATATGTAACAATGGTTTTTCAACAGTTACAGTATATACAGATATTATTGGGATTTCACTGGTCAGAAATGATAAAATTAGTTGTGATCCCCCTCCCCCCTGACAACTAGTTTTTTAACAGTAGGAAATAAATGTAAAACTTTAAATAATAAAAATGATTAATTTTCTATTAATGTTTTGATTTGGCTTTAGTACAGTGACAATATAAAAGGCAATGCAAGCAGCATTGTATTTATAAAATCACAATAAAATTGCATATATTATATTAAAATATTTGGCTGCCTTTGTTTTTGAGGAATGTAGTCATTTGCAAGGGAATTGTCAAATTTGGGGCATCACAAAGTTTGAAAATCCTGCTATTTAACAAAAATTTAAATTCTGTCATTCTAAAAAATTTTTTAAGCTTGAAAATACCAGACCTCTTTCATTGTGATTCCTTGGAAAAGCATGGTCAGTATATCCATGAATTTCTCATTTTTGATACATTTTAAGAAAAACATTTTAAAAATCGCAAAAAAATTAGTAAATGACAGAATTTTCTTTCCCCTCCCCCTCCTTCGATAGAGCTCTCACTAATCTGGTGGGAAAACTTTGTAGGACTTTTGGTGACTGAGGTTTTAATACAGGAAAAGGCTAGTAGATGGTAAGGTGAAATATATAAATATTTCTCACTTCTCCTCAGATGACCCGCAATTATGGGACTTCACTCTGGACGGCATCGATATGCTCGACGATCCTGCAAGTCTCCACAGAACCTCCCCGTCCCACGACACAGAGCCAGCACAAGATGATGACGCGCAGCAAGACCCCGCAGAGAGCCCAGTACCCGAGACCACCAGCTCAACCTCAGGGCCATGTTGTTCCTCAAGGCTAGGGAGGATATGGCCAATACAGATCCTCTGACATGAGAATTACAGCAG